TGTGTGTGTGTGTGTGTGTGTGTGTGTGAAAAGATAGGTGGAGTATGTGAGTGTGTTGGTGAGGAGCAATAGACAGGTGGAGGGTGAACATTTTGAATGAGACAGTGTGGTAGGACAGACACATCAGTAGCAATTTATGTGTACGGGTGTCTGCGTGTGTTTGTGTATGTGGGTGAGTGTGTGTGTGTGAAAAGATAGGTGGAGTATGTGAGTGTGTTGGTGAGAAGCATTAAAGACAGGTGGAGGGTGAACATTTTGAATGAGACAGTGTGGTAGGACAGACACATCAGTAGCACACAAGTAAGCCTGGAAAATTCACAGAAGACGTGCCCAGGGAAGGACCCTCCCCTTCAAAGACAGCTGGTTCCAGTAGGACAGAGGAAGGATCAGGTGAGTGTGGGAGCCCCTGAGGAGAGGACAGGAGATGCAGTTACCATAGACTAAATGGGTCACATGTCCCCAGGTCTTTTGGGGTGCTCATTTTTGGAGAAAGTTCTACAGGCGAGGGGGAGGCTGTACAACTAGATCTCAGTCTTTCTGTCCTAACCAAGGGACCCAGTTGAACTTCTCTTGAGCAGGAGCCTCAGCAGGGTGCATTGAAGGCTAGCTTTACCCATTAAAACACTTACTGCCATCATGAGTTGATGTTAACTCCACAGAAACTGGAGTTTATATGTATGTGTGTGTGTGTGTGTGTGTGTGTGTGTGTACAGTAAAAACCCATCAAAGCTAGAATCTGCATAAGGCAGAAACACCCCGGAGAAGAAAAACTCATCAGGTGTTTATGAGGTAAGATTCATACTGTAGAATGATAGAGAAGTACTGGGACAGCACATTCTGTCAAGGGCAGTGTGTTAGTCTGGGTAGACTAGAGAAACAAATCCATGGGCACTCATATGTGTATAAGAAAGAGCTTTATATCAAGAGTAATTGTACATTATGAAAACATTCCAGCCCAGTCCAGATCAAGTCCATAAGTCTGACATTAGCCCATATGTTGGATACCAATCTGTAAAGCCCTCCTCAGACTCATAAAACACATGCAATGATGCCGAATGCAGGCAGATCACAGGCCAGTGGGTGGGGAGTCTTGTGGAGCCAGTGGCATTGTAAGCATCTCAGTGCTGGCAGGCGTCTCCATGTGGCTCCTCCGGCTCAGGGCAGCACTAGCGTAGTTCCATGTGTCTTGTCGGTTGAAAAGTCTCCCAGGGAGTGAGCAGAGAGAGAGTGTCTCCCGTCTCCAAGGAGGAATACAGGAGTTCCCAGAATCCTCAGGAGAAGGTCATGTCCACACAGAGGCCTCATTGTCTGTGACCTGATTGACAGGCTAGACTCCACCCCTTCACTCTTAATCCTCTCAAGTCGACAAACGATTAGATAACTACCACAGGCAGAAAACATGAGCAATACAGAAAACCAAGGCAGTCCTGTGGAGTTCCAGCGTTCCGAGTTGGTTCCCAAGATAATCCATCTTCCAATTCATAGTTTCAAGCCTTTCCCTTTGAATTCTAGCTTTTTGTATCTACTTTCCATTGTGTTGTTGTTTTTCTTCAGGAACT